AGAAGAGATTGGATTTATACCCTGCTCTTCACTCAGGGTCTCAGAGCATCTTACAATCTTCTTTTCCTTCCCCTCCCCGCAACAGACACCCTGTGAGGTAGGTGGGGCTGAGAGAGCTCTTTCCAGAACTGCCCTTGAGAGACCAGCTCTGACAGAACTATGGCTTGCCCAAGGTCATCCAGCAGCTGCAAGTGGAGGAGTGGGGAATCAAACCCAGTTCTCCCAGATTAGAGTCCACACACGTAACCACTGCACCAAACAGGCTCAATGTGAAAGCCCAATAGTTCTATATCTAAACTTAAAGCATAAATATTACGATACCTACCCCCCAAAATACATGCATTTATTACAAATTTGATAAAAGCAAATGTAGGCCCAAATAGTAGCTTCAAATCAGAATAAAATCATACAGTTATCTCAAACATAGACCATTTGTGACTCTGGCCAAATGCGTTTCAGCCAATTGGCCTTCTTCAGTGGTCAAACAATGTTGTTGCACAATGGCTCCAGGCATTACAATTATAATGATACAGTTATTTCTTAACCTTGAACCAAGTTGAAATTGTTCTGGAGGAGAAAGGGGGAAAAGGGAAGAAAAGGGGGAAATATTGATTACTAAAATCAGTACATTGTTATGAATATGACAGAAAGGTGCATTCATAAGGTATATTATGAGTTTGTTTGACCAGATAATTGTATGACTTTATTCTGATTTGAGACTACTATTTGGACCTCCGTTTGTTTTTATCTGATTTGTAATAAAAACATTTTTTTGTATATGTGGTAATAGTTACATTTTAAGTTTAGATATAGAATTATTAGGTCCTCACATTCTGACTTCTTTAACCTTTTGGTTCTTAACTTTTGCATCAAGTCTCCCCCCCCCCTTTTCGTGTGTCTTCTGCAATTGACCTTTGCAGCTAGCACATTTGCAGTCCAGTCTGTGGCTCTGTTTCATGTACCATCTTTGGCTGAGATAAGGCCGTTTAAAGCTGGAAACAGAGCACAGATTTCACTCTCTATTTATGTTTTACGTTTTTACATCTTGCCCTTCCTTCAAGGTGCTTGGAGGAACCAGTGCATACTTGTTTGCTGTCCTTCCATTTTCCCCTCACAACAACCCTGTGAGGTAGGTTAGGCTGAGAGAATGACTGGCTCAAAGTCACCCAGTGAATGTCATGGCAATTCAGTTGCATGATGAGCAGGGAGAAGAAGAGAAGAAGAAGAGATTGGATTTGTAACCCCACCCTTTATACCCCACTACCTGAAGAAGTCTCAGAGTGGCTTACAATCCCTTTCCCTTCCGTTCCCCTCCCCACAACAGACACCCTGTGAGGTAGGTGGGGCTGAGAGAGCTCTCTTGAGAACTGCCCTTGAGAGAACGGCTCTGGAAGAATTTATGACTGACCCAAGGTCACACCAAGCAGCTGCATGTGGAGGAGTGGGGAATCAAACCCAGTGTCCAACCTGTGTTTGTAAAGCACAACAAAATGTCCTGGAGATTTGAGGGTGGAGCATGGGACGAGTGGGACCTTGGCAGGGCATAACACCCCAGAATGCCCCCTCCAAAGCTGCCATTTTCACCAGGGGAACTGATCTCTGTAGTCTGAAGATCAATTATCATCCCAGAAGTTATCCAGGTTCTACCTGGAGGCTGGCAGCCCCATGTGTTTCTCTAAGCCTAGGATCTACCGCTGAGGGATTTCCCTGATGAAAACTGGAATCGTCTTTGGAACCCCCTTTTTCTTATCCCACAAAGCCCCTGCCTTTCGTCTGCTCCACCCGCCAACTTTTCTTTTGTTAGTCCTCAACCTATCACCCAGCAACCTCATTGGGTGCCCCCATGTCCCAGTAATATGGCACAGAGAGAGAGAAAGCTCTCTCTGTCCAGGGGTGATTTCCTGCAGGAGCGCACAGGAGTGGAGCTCCGGCAGTAAAGAGCCCAGGGGGTGGGCACATGCAACAAGCCCCCACCCCCTGCTCCCAGCAGCCCCCGGCCACAAGGAGCAAGAAGCAGCCAGTTTTGGGTTGCAGAGGCCCCCCCCCATAGCAACCCAAAATATTCCAGTGGCACCTTTAATGGAGGAGTGGGGAATCAAACCCAGTGTCCAACCTGTGTTTGTAAAGCACAACAAAATGTCCTGGAGATTTGAGGGTGGAGCATGGGACAAGCGGGACCTTGGCAGGGCATAACACCCCAGAATGCCCCCTCCAAAGCTGCCATTTTCACCAGGGGAACTGATCTCTGTAGTCTGAAGATCAATTATCATCCCAGAAGTTCTCCAGGTTCTACCTGGAGGCTGGCAGCCCCATGTGTTTCTCTAAGCCTAGGCTCTACCGCTGAGGGATTTCCCTGATGAAAACTGGAATCGTCTTTGGAACCCCCTTTTTCTTATCCCACAAAGCCCCTGCCTTTCGTCTGCTCCACCCGCCAACTTTTCTTTTGTTAGTCCTCAACCTATCACCCAGCAACCTCATTGGGTGCCCCCATGTCCCAGTAATATGGCACAGAGAGAGAGAAAGCTCTCTCTGTCCAGGGGTGATTTCCTGCAGGAGCGCACAGGAGTGGAGCTCCGGCAGTAAAGAGCCCAGGGGGTGGGCACATGCAACAAGCCCCCACCCCCTGCTCCCAGCAGCCCCCGGCCACAAGGAGCAAGAAGCAGCCAGTTTTGGGTTGCAGAGGCCCCCCCCCATAGCAACCCAAAATATTCCAGTGGCACCTTTAAGGTACAATTCACCTTTAAGGTTTATTCAGCTTTACTTAATCCACCTTTAAGGTTTACTCAGCTTTATTCAATCCACCTTTAAGGTTTATTCAGGTACAAGCTCTCCCTCCTCTGTGAGGGCAGATTTGCGTGCTTCCCCCCCACACACACACACAGCTAGCAATCCAAAACAGTCCAGTGGAGCCTGAGCAGTGGGTGTTGTCTTCTGACACACTTCCGGTGATGTCAGAGGGTGTGGCATATGCAAATAAGTCATGCAAATGAGTTATGCTAATGAGCGCCTGCACCTCTTTTTCTATGAAATGACCCCTGTCTCTGTCCATCCATGCATCCTTGTTTTCTGAAACCTGTCCCTCGTAAAACTCTGCCTCTATCTGGTCCCAGCTGTTGTGTTTTGGGGAAACTTTAGAAACACTTTCTCATTACAACTTGCTTGAGTTGTCGTTCTTTTTTTGGGGGGGGGTCCTCCTTCCAGAATCCATAGAAGTTAAATTTCCTAGCAGGGAAGCAGGTGCGTCATCTCGCGTCTGCACATGAATGCTACGGCACCCTGCCGTGCGCAGCCGGCCGTTCCATGTGGCTGCAGATGCAAAGGTATGCTTTGAACCATTGCCGCTAACAGATTGCAGGGCAATTACGTCTTCTTTAATACATGTTTCTCCAAGAGAACAAAACCCCTCCTGGTTTTGAAATTGGCGCAAGACCTGTGATTGCCGAGCCACAAACAGCGCATCCAGAAGGCAGAGTACAGCCTTCAAGGGTGTGGGGGATAAGGAGGAGATGCACACCTTGAACTGGAACATTGCAAGCCCATTCTTATTTTCATTTGTGAAAGGTGGGTATCTTAGACCTAGATGTTACAAATGCTTAGGCTTGGAATACTTTGAGGCAAGAGCCCTGTTGGTCCGCAGTAGAAGAGCAAGATTCGAACTCAGCGGCACCTTAAAGACCAAGAAGAATCTCTTGAGAGTCAAGATAACAGTGCATGTGTTAATCTAATCTTAGCTACATTCATTGCTCAGTTACTTATGCATCTTGACTCTATAACCTGGCAACTAACACCCCCACCTGCATGTAATGTTTGAGGAAATCTGTTTCACCAGTGTTCCCTCTAAGCTGAGTTAGTGTGAGCCAGCTCACAGTTTCTTAGCCTCCAGCTCACACATTTTTGTCTTAGCGCAGGAAGGATGGCTCCAAAGCAAACTAATTTATGCAGCGACCGAATCACCTGCTCCCAACTTTAATGCCAGTAGCTCACAAAGTAGAATTTTTGCTCACAGGACTCCATAGCTTGGAGGGAGCATTGGTTTCAATGTATGTGAAGAGAAGAGAGAAGGATTGGATTTATACCCCGCCCTTCACTATCCAAGGGAGTCTCAAAGAGTGTCTTACAAACTCCTTTCCCTTCCCCTCCCCACAACAGACTCTGTGAGGTAGGTGGGGCTGAGAGAGTTCTGACAGAAACTGCTCTTTTTCAAGAACAGCTGTGCCAGAACTACGGCTTGCCCAAGGTCATCCAGCAGGGGCAAGCAGAGGAGTGGGGAATCAAACCCGGTTCACCCAGATTAGAGTCTGCGCACTACACTTAACTGGCTGAAGAAGTGTACATATGCTGAGCCTCTGTTCTCGCCTGTACACATGGTTGAGCTTGGGGTCTTTTGGGGGGAGGGGTGCTGCTGGACTCCAATTCCATTCTCATATCTCCTTGTTAACTCTTGCATTTACGTGCTGATTTGCTGCCATCCGTTGATTCTACCGGACACCCATTCCAATTTCAGCTCTGCCTATGCATCTGGGCTCTTTGCGGCCTCTCCTAATGGCTTACCCCACCACACACCTTCTTCCCCCCCCCCCCCACCGTAACTCACTTTTGAGATTTCATTCCAGTTTTGTCTGAAGAAGTGTGTTTTGCACATGAGAGCTTACACTTTGAGTAGAACTTTGTACATCTCAAAGGTGTCACTTGGCTCAAACTTTGTTCTGGTGCAAGACTGATGATTGTACAGCCACACGGAGCACACCCCCCCCCACAGCGCAACACAAGGACGTCCCCCCCTACACACAAAGCATCCATTAGCTGCAGGGGAACTGATCTCTGTAGTCCGGAGATGAGATGGAATTCTAGGAGATCCCCAGGTCCCACCTGGAGGCTGGCATCCCCACCTGGAAACCTTGCTGGTCTTTAGGGTGCTACTGAAAAAAAATCTTGCTTGACTTTGCCTACGAGTTCTTTGCAGGCAGTGGGGTGGGGCTAGTAGTTTCCAGCACTCCGAGGCCACCACCAACTTCCCCGTTTAGCACGAGTCTATTGAAGAAGGAGCTCTCTCCCCGCAACAAGGGTGGCCTGAAACTCCCTCGCTACTCGTTTAAGCCACCGGAGCCTGGCTGTGGTCCCAAGAGGTAAGAACGGCCAGCTTGCGGCAAGACCCCCCCTGCAACTCTGGTTCCTGGAGAGCTTAGGAAAGGCCCAGGCCCTGGGGAAATCTTGACCGCCAGGGCTGCATCCCAGAAGGGCTGCTGTTTGGCCATTTGGAGGGCCAGGCGGTGTAGTGGGTAGAGCATTGGCCTAGAATGGGGGACACCAAAGTTCAGTTCCTTCCTCAGACTCGCCCCCCCTTCTCTCAGACCAACCTGCCTTACAATGCTGTTGTGGAGAGGAGAGGCAAATGAGAGAACATTGTGGAGGCTGAAATAGGGGGTGCCACTGTCCGTGGGTTTGTAGGAAGGGACTTTTTAGGGAGTTGAGATTGGTCGTGGTCGGGCTAAGATCTAAGAGAGCTAGATTTGAAACCCTCCTCTTCTGGGAATTGAGATTGGTAGGGGTCGGGCTGGGATCCGGGCGAGCTGGATTCACACACCCTTGTTCCCATGGCAACTCTCTCAATGACTTCAGACTACCCTACCTCACAGGGTTATTGTGAGAATAACATGGGAGAAGGGATAAATATCTAAATAAACCATCTGTCTCAAGCTGATTTAAGTGCTCCTTGCCAGAAACCCAAAACGCCCTTCCTTCTTTTTCTAGCTCTCTCATTCTAAAATGCAGGATGGCTGGAACGTGTCAATCAGTCAATCAATCCTCTGGCAAGCCCATCAGCGGATCAGAAAGCCAATACAAGCTCATTCAAAACTGCTCTTCCAGTCTTTTACCTGTCAGAGACCTCCTTTGCATATATGTGCCCTCAGCTGGGTGTGACATGTGAGTTTGGTCTCCCATCAATAAGATGGTGGGGTGGCAACCAGCTGGTAATAGTGGCAAATGGGCAACTGAACCTGGGGTGTGGAGAGCACTGGACCAGAACCAGGAGATTCAGGCTGAAAGCCCTGCTCTGTTTACTGGATGCTCTCTCTCCCTCTCTCTCCCTCCCTAACCTACCTCACAGGGTTGTTGTGAAGCCAAAATTGGAAAGAAAGACCCCTTGGAAGAACATGGAGGAAAAAAATCTGATAGATCATCAGTGCAGTCCTAACAACACTTTTCTGGGAGTAAGCCCTATTAAATAGACCTGATTAGGACTCCAAGGAGACCTGCTCAAGATTGCTCCTTGATCTCCTAGGGATGACACGCTACCTGTTTCTTTAATGACGTCTTTGCTTAAGGAAATCTGACAAGTGCAAAGTTTTCTTGCCGTGACAAGACACCTGTCTGTCTCTGCTGAGTACATTTTAACCCTGCCTTTTCTCCATGGAGCTGGGGTGTGTGTGTTTGTGGAGATAAAAAAACCTCTCCTCCTAATAGTAGCACAGCAAGCTGTGGTGAAGGACAGAAAAGAAGCTTCAGGTGGGGTTTTGGCCACCCTTTCTCTGACTCTACCGGCCACTCTACGGGAGGGGGAAGGAGAACAGAGCCGGATTACACTGACCTATTCGTCTTCAATTGGCCACTTCGAGTTTTTCTCTTGAATTTTCGTGGACTTTCTTTTTCTGTTGTTTAAGTTAGTGGCATGATGGTATACAGCCCCCACAGAACTTCACCGTTTGACTCCCACTAACTCAACACTGAGCTGGAAGACCTGTAGTGAAGCTGGCTCATATATTCGTAGTTGGTGGCAGTGTTTCCTCTAAGCTGAGTTAGTGTGAGCTGGCTCACAGTTTTTTAGCCTCCGGCGTTTTTGTCCTTGCACAGGAAGGATGGCTCCAGAGCAAACTAATCTATGCAGTAGCCAAATGGCTCACTCACAGCTTTAATGCCAGGAACTCACAAAGTAGAATTTTTGCTCACAATAACAGAAATAGTAAATGTATAGCCCTGTTGTAATAAAAGAGATAAGGTTACAGAGAACTTTATATTGACAAAACTCAGTGTTAGGTCGTGAAAGCTGGTTGTTTATTTTCGTTCAACTGTTATTGTTATTATTGCTGTATTTGTTGAAATGATTGATAAAAAACTTTTAAAAAGAGAGAGTGAAAGAGAGACAGGGTTTTCATAGCAAAAGATGTTCAGAAGTGGTTTGCCCTTGCCTGCCTCTGCGTGGCAACCCCAAACTTCCTTGGAGGTCTCTCATCCAAGGACTAACCAGGGCTGACCCTGCTGAGCTTCCAAGATCCGATGAGAGCGAGTGAGCGAGACTGGGCCATTCCAGGTCAGAGCCTTAAAACACTCTCTCTCTGCAGACAGTGCCATCGAATCATAGCCAACTCATGATGATCCCATAGGGTTTCCAAGGCAAGAAGTTAAGAGAGGTCGGTTTGCCAGTGCCTGCCCCTGTGGGGCAGCCCTGGACTTCCTCGGTGGCCTCCCATCCAAATACTAACCAGGACCAACCCTGCTTAGCTTCTAAGCTGTGATGAAATCAGGGTAGCCTGGGCCAGCCTAAGAAACTAGGCCTCATGAAACTTAAACTAGGTAGAGAAACAGAGAGAGACGCTTCTTGTGCCTTGCTTCTTACTGCGACGAGGAGGCGCTTCTGAAAAAGATGCCTTCTCCTCATCTTGGTGGCCCTGGGAAAGCCTCTGCCGTGTGGCCAGCCCCTGAAGGAACTGGGCGATGCCCTCCTTGTACACACTCTGTGCTTCCCTTTCCTCACTTTGCAGGGCAAAGATGGGCGTCGACGTAAAGGTGTTCTTGGGATGGGGCTTTGTCCTTTTCCTGCTTCTGGCGAGTTCATCGTCATCTGGAGCTGAGACCTCCCGCTACTGCTATGGAATACCAGGCATGCCCGGTGTGCCAGGTGTTTCGGGAAAGGATGGCAGAGATGGCCAGAAAGGAGCCAAGGGAGAGCCAGGTAACCAATCTCTTGGAAGCCTCAACCTGCCGGCTTTGGTTGGCACAAGGAAGGGTGCGGTCTTCTCTTTAAGAACATAAGAACATAAGAGATGCCAATGTTGGATCAGGCCAAAGGCCCATCCAGTCCAACACTCTGTATCACACAGTGGCCAGAAATACCAGTGCCATCAGGAGGTCCAGCAGTGGGGCCAGGACATTAGAAGACCTCCCACTGTTGACCCCCCCGAGCCCCTAGCTATACCTTGTGGCTAATAGCCACTGATGGACCTCTGCTCCATATGCTTATCTAATTCCCTTTTGAAGCCGTCCATGCTTGTAGCACCCACCACTTCCTGTGGCAGTGAATTCCATGTGTTAATCACTCTTTGGGTGAAGAAGTACTTCCTTTTATCCGTTCTAACCCGACTGCTCTGCAGTTTCATGGAGTGCCCATGAGTTCTTGTATTGTGAGAAAGGGAGAAAAGTACCTCTTTCTCTACCTGCTCTTTCCCATGCATAATCTTATAAACCTCGATCATGTCACCCCTCAGTCGTCTTTTCTCCAAGCTAAAGAGCCCTAAGCGCTTTAACCTTTCCTCATAGGGAAAGTGTTCCAACCCTTTTATCATTCGAGTTGCCCTTTTCTGCACTTTTTCCAAAGCTATAATATCCTTTTTAAGGTGTGGTGACCAGAACTGCACACAGTATTCCAAATGAGGTCTCACCATTGATTTATATAGGGGCATTATGATATTGGCTGATCTTTGCTGTCTTTGTTTAAACGGAGAAGTCAATGGGTGGCTCTTTGCTGTCACCAACACCCAGCTGCTCAGATCAGGGGTTCCCAACGTGGTGCCTGTGGGAGCCCCCACCAACACCTTTTCTGGTGCTCGCCCAGGGTTTTAGGAAGTGGGCGGGACCAGACAGTGCTTTTGCCCGGCAAGGCTTCTGATTGGCCATTGGAGATTTGTCTATTTGGAGTTGGACTGGCCTTGTCTCTCTCTGGGGTTTCAGGCACCAAAAGGGCTTTCCCAACACCCAGGGTTCTTTTACTGAGAATGAAAGATGTGGCCCATATCTGATGCATTTGAAGCTGCCCTTGTGCTAGAGGCAGAGACCACTGGTCCACCTAGGGTGGCCAGTCTCCAGGTCCCGGTGGGGGAACCCCACCCCCGAACAGCCACGTTCTGGCATGACATCCCCAATGAGATGACATCACCCGGAAGTGATGTCGTCATGCAGGGGACGTCACGCAGGACGCTCTGTTTTGAGGGCAAAACTCTATGGTACATTTGGCCTAAAACCATAGTCTTGTCCTCAAACCAGAGCGTCCCGTGTGACATCACCGGTGTGATGATGTCACTCCCGGGTGATGTCATTGTGTCGGGGAACATCCCGGAATGCCCCCCCCCAATCCCCTCGCCAGCACAGTGAGGGGACCTAGCAACCCTGGGTCTGCCTCACCTGCAATCTGAGATCCTTTAACTGGGAATGCTGGGAACTGAACCAGGATCACGGGACTCTCTGGTTTGAGGACAATACTATGGTTTTAGGCCAAATGTACCATAGAGTTTTGCCCTCAAAACAGAGTGTCCTGCGTGACGTCCCCTGTGTGATGACATCACTTCCAGGTAATGTCATTTCATTGGGGATGTCATTCTAGAGTGGGACGAGCATTGATCCTTTTTGGGAGAGGATCGTCCCACTCTAGAATCCCAGTTCAGCAAGGAGGATTTCTAAAATAAACTCCAGAACCGGGGCATCCATCCTGTGCCGCAGCGTTCAGTCCTTTCCATTCACGCACGTCGTTTCCTCCCTTGTATTGCCGGAGTCCCTGTGTGTGCATTGATCTGACAGATTCATAAGGCATTAATTGTCTTCCTGCTTTCCACTGCCAAAATGCAAACTGCGGGTCTTGGAAAAGCAAACATACCCCTGCCATTAATACTCGGTGCGATGCCGGTGATTTTAACTGTTAACCAATTAAAGCCACGCACCATTCCCCTGATACAGACAAATGAATTCTTTTTGTTTAATTGTTTGTTGACTCAAAAAGGAAATTTGGCACATGCCCTGAGGGAGTTAGACAGATACGGTAAAATGCTGTAACTCTGTGATAGTTTCAGGGGGCAGCTGCATCGGTCCGCAGCGGAACAGCGCGATTTGAGTCCCGGAGCCCTTTAGAAACCAACACGATTTTCAGGGCATCAGTTTTCGAGAGTCAAAGCTCCCTTCGTTGGATACTTGTAAGAATGGAGATCTCTGGGTCTTTATATCCTACCTTTTGATTGGGGTATCAAGACTCAAAGATCTCCATTTCTACTTGGGATCCTCGAAGGGAGCTTGGATTCTCAAAAGCTGATACCTGCAAATATCTCGTGGGTCTCTGAGGTGCTATGGGACTCAAACCTAGCTGTATATCTATAACATAACCAATATCAGAGGTTGACTCGGGGGGGATCGCGGGGGATCACAGTTCCCATGGGTGAGGGGCAGGGGGGCGTGGCACATGACGAAGCCCTGCGCCCTGTAAGGTCCCTCCCCTTCCAAAACCCCACCCTCCCCAGGCTCCACCCTCAAAATCTCCAGGTATTTCCCAAACCACAGCTGGCAATGCTAGTATAATGCTATACAGTCCACCCTCCAAGGCAACCATTTCCTCCAGGGGAACCAATCTCTGTAGATGGAAGATTATTTGTAATTCCAGGAGATATCTAGGCTCCACCTGGAGGCCAACAACCCTGGCTTTGGAAGATGGACTCTATGGCATTATACCCCATTAAAGTCTCTCCACTCCCCAAACCCCGCCCTCCTCAAGCTCCACCCCCAAAATCTCCAGGTATCTCCCAACCCAGATTTGGCAACCCTAGTTCTTACATTTAAGTAACCAGCTGAAGTCCGTGATCTCATCCTAGATTGTAGCATCCTGCGTTATGACTAAAGAAAGTGATCATTTCTAGTCAGCCTATATTGAGGAGCGTTAGGAAAAGTGTAAAACGAGGCTTTCTTTTTTTTAAAAAAGAGGAAAGATAAAACATTGCAAAAAAACCCCACCCAATCTTGATGTGACTGCATCACACATTGTTTTGTGTGTGGTGTTTTACCGATGTAAAACGAAGATGAAGAAACAAATTGGTGCGGAGGGAAATAGAATATCTGATAATCATACAACCCCTATGTCTTTTGTGTGCAGCTTCATCAGGGGGATTCGAATGACATGATAAAAAGGACAAATTTGATACATTTTTTAAATGAATTAATCAAACACAGGACAATTTCACAGAGCATGTACAGAGTGCAATTCATAATTAGTTGCTGATGTTAAGAAAACTGAACCAACAATAACACACACTAGACGTTACATATTTACAAAGGAATCACAATTTAAATTGTTTGTTAAGGTAAAAGGTAAAGGTTCCCTTGCTCGAAAGCCAGTCGAGTCCGACTCTAGGGTTGTGGTGCTCATCTCCATTTCAAAGCCGAAGAGCCAGCGCTATCCGAAGACCTTTCCGTGGTCATGTGGCCGGCATGACTAAACACCAAGGCGCACGGAACCCTGTTACCTTCCCACCGAAGTGGTACCTATTTATCTACTTGCAATTTCTTGCTTTCGAACGGCTAGGTTGGCAGGAGCTGGAACTAGAGACGGGAGCTCTCGGGTCTCGAACTGTTGAACTACCGACCTTCCACAGCCTGCAGTTCAGCGTCTTAACCACTTGAGCCACCGCGCTGTATCTCCAGCTTATTTCCCTGCACTTTTAAAGTGCTCAGGAATAAGCCAGTATCCATAGAATTTGTTTCCCTCCGCACCTATTTGTGTCTTCATCTTTGTTTTACTTTGGTGCTGCCCCTTGTTTATTTACGTTTTGCCCATGTAAACATTCCTGCATATGGGTAAAAGGCCCCCCAAAATATCTCAAATATACAGCTGCCTTATACTGTATGACCGTTATCTTTGAGCTTAATATTGTCTTCTCTAACTGGCACCGACTCAGGCAGAGAGATTGATGGGTCTTTCTCAACACTGGTCTCCCGAATTCTTCAAGTTGGAGATACAATCAGCTGTACCTGAAGCTTCCTTTGTGTGGTGGAGTGGTTAACAGCAATGGACTCTAATCCAGAGAATCAGGTTTGATTCCCCACTCCTCCATGTGAAACCAGCTGGGTGATCTTGGGCCAGTCACAGTTCTCTCAGAGCTCTCTCAGCCCCACCGACCTCACAAGGCGCCTGGTGCAGGGCGAGGAAGGGAAGGCAATTGTAAGCCACTTTGAGACTCCTTAGGGTAGAGAAAAGTGAGATATAGGTCCTTTCTGCACTAGGCCTTAAATCCTGGTTCAACCCTGTCCCCGAACTTACATTCTACGCTACACGCGAGTTCACTCCTGTAATTATCTCGGGGAATTTTTTGTTTCCACATTACATTGAGGTCACCCCAGTTTTGCCCCACACTTGTCCCCAGGATAAACGGATGCTGTTATAACCAGGGATAAATACATAGTGTCACAAGTTGAACTCTGATAGAACCAGGGATGAGATCCAAGTGCGGAAAGGACCATAGAAACCTCCTCCTCCTCCTCCCTCTTCCCTCCTCCCTCTTCTTCTTCTTCTTCTTCTTCTTCTTCTTCTTCTTCTTCTTCTTCTTCTTCTTTGTCTTCTTCTGACCCTGACCAATGCTTTCTTGAACCTTTGCAGGCAAACCAGCTGTTCACGGAAGCCAAGGTCCCCGGGGGGAGTCAGGAGAGCCAGGTCAGCCAGGGATACCTGGGAAAAACGGGCCCAGGGGTCCCCCAGGTGAACCCGGGGATCTTGGCCTGAAGGGGTTGGTGGGTGAACCGGGGGAGACCGGCAGCTACAAGCGGAACCATCAGTCGGCCTTCACGGTGATGCGGCAGACGAGCCAGTACCCCGAGAAGAACGCCCCCGTGGTCTTCAACAAAGCCATCACCAACACCAACGGAGACTTCGACACCGGCACCGGCAAGTTTACCTGCCGCATCTCCGGCCTCTACTTCTTCACCTTCCACACCTCCCACACCGCCAACCTCTGCGTGAACATGTACCATAACCGGGATAAGGTGGCCAGCTTCTGCGACCACATGGCCAACGCCAAGCAAGTCAGCTCCGGCGGCGTCCTCCTGCAGATGACGGAGGGACACCAGGTGTGGTTGGCGGTCAACGACTACAACGGCATGGTGGGCATCGCTGGTTCCGACAGCGTCTTCTCGGGCTTCTTGCTCTTCCCAGACTAGGTGCGCAGTGAACCCCTGGGCACCCCTGCTTTCCATGCAACTGAGTCCCTCGCATCTCTAACCCCCAGCCCCAATTTCCCCAAAGGGCTCCTCGCTGTTGTAAACGTCATCAATAAAACTGGTTTTGCTTTAAAATTGTTCTTGTTTGTGCCCTGATATTGTTCTATCTCAGAAGCAGGGTAGGATTGGCCCTGGTTAGACCTTGGATGGGAGACCACTAAGGAAGTCCTAGGAGGCTACGCAGAGGCAGGCAAAGGCAAACTGCCTCTGTTCATCTCTTGCTCTGAAAACCCTACGGGGTCATCAGAAGCTGTGTCTTGACCAGTGTTCCTCTAGGCTGAGTCAGTGTGAGCTAGCTCACAGTTTTCTAGCCTCCGGCTCACACCTTTTTGTCTTAGCGACAGGGGTCATTTCATAGAAAAAGAGGTGCAGGAGCTCATTAGCATAACTCATTAGCATAACTTACTTGCATATGCCACACCCCCTGACATCACCGGACGTGTGTCAGAAGACAACACCACTCCACTGGACTGTTTTGGATTGCTAGCTATTGGGGGGGGGGCCACGTGCAGATCTGTCCTCGCAGAGGAGGGAGAGCTTGTACCTGAATAAAACTTGGTCTTAAAGGTGCCACTGGACTGCTTTGGACCGGGGAGGGGGAGGAGGGGAGCTCGGCAGCTTACCTGGCTGCTTCTTGCTGTGACTGAGGGCTGCTGGAAGCAGGGGGTGGGGCTTGTTGCATGTGCCCGCCCCCTGGGCTCTTTACTGCCGGAGCTCCGCTCCTGTGCGCTCCTGCAGGAAATGACCCCTGAGCTCCGGAAGGATGTGGCTCCAGAGCCAACGAATGTATGCAGCAGCCAACCCGCTCGCTCACCACTTTAATGCCAGCAGCTCACAAAGTAGGATTTTTGCTCACAAGGCTCCACAGCTTCGAGGGGGCATGGCTCTCGACAGCACTTTCCATCACCATACAGGGAGCAATTCTTCCTCAGGGAGGGTTTCCCTTAACTTTGAGGGTTACCTGGTCCCCCCTGGCCACCAGCAGGGGATGGAGGACTGGAATTTCCAGATCCAGAATGGGAGACTCGTGGAGATTTGAGACTGGAGTCCGGGGAGGACAGGAACCACAATGGGGTACACTGCCATGGAGTCCATCCTCCAACACATCCGATTTCTCCAGCAGAAGCTATCTCTGTAGTCTAGAGATAAGCTGTAATTCCAGGGGATCCCCAGGTCTGGCACGGTGACCGGCATCCCTACTTAATTTTCTGACCTTCCGCACGGTCGTTTTTATCACTCCTTTGTCCCTATTGCTTTGGGTCTCCCCAGGGCTCCTTTTGTAGAAAAAGCCCAGCAGAAACTCATTAGCCTATTAGGCCACACCCCTGACAGCACAGCTCATTAGCACATTAGGCTGCACCCCCATGTTACCAGAAGTATGGTCATCCAGCCACACCCACCTTTTGCTTCTTATTCTGTTTACCCTGTTTGCTGTCAAATTACAGAGCTCTTTTTGTAGCAGGAACTCCTTTGCATGTTAGGCCACACACCCCGAATGTAGCCAATCCTAATGAATTTCTGCTGTTGGGTGTGGCCTACTATGCTGATAAGTTCCTGCTGGGCGTGGCCAACTTGGGAGCCAGCCGGAACTCCGTTCCTGCCCAAAAATAGCCCTGGGTCTCTCCCCCTCCACATGTGTTTTGCTCCCTCTGGGACATGTGGGGGAGGGGAACCCCAAAGCAATAGGGACAAACGTGTGACAAAAATGACAGTGCTGTTCTCCCTTGTGGGGGTTGCACTGTTGCTGTCTGAACCAACCTTGGAATGGACCCGGTAAAGAGCAGCCCCTGACCCACTGACAGAGACCCCCACGGACAATGTAATTTTGGTCTGCCGAGGTTGTGCCGTTGTGGTCAGACTCTTCCCCAAGGAACAGAGAGCTTGCCAACCTCCAGGTGGGGCCTGGAGATTTCCCAGAATTACATGTGATTTCTAGACTACCAAGGTCAGTTCCTCCGGAGAAAATGGGCTGGTTTGGAGTGTAGGATCTATGGTATTATAAGCCCCCACTGAGGTCCCTCGTCTCTGCGAGCTTCATCCCCAAATCTGAATTTCCCAGCCCAGAATTGGCAACCCAATATGATGCTGATATGCATTCTTACCCAAGCAGAAGAAGAAGAGGATAAGTGATTGGATTTATACCCTGCCCTTCACTACCTGAAGGAGTCTCACAGTGGATTACAATTTCCTTTCCCCACAACAGACACCCTGTGAGGTAGGTGGGGCTGAGAGAGCTCTTTCGAGAACTGCTCTTTCAAGGACCGCTCTTGTCAGAACTATGGCTTGCCCAAGGTCATCCAGCAGGTGCAAGTGGTGGAGTGGGGAATCAAACCCAGTTCTCCCAGATTAGAGTCTGTGCTCCTAACCACTACACCAAACTGGCTAAATACCAAATACCTAAATCCTAAGCCTTATCACTGAAGATATATCATAGCCATCAAGAGTATTTTTATTCCAACTTTTCTCCAGGGAATTCAGGTCATATTTATCCTTTTCCTCCATTTTTTCCTCACAACAACCTTGTGAGGTAGGTCAGGCTGAGCGAAAGTGACCATCCAAAAATCACCCAGTGAGCTTCATGGCTGACACGGGAACTGAAATGACACCTCTCGGATCTTAATCCAACATGCACACCACTGCTATACCACACTGGATTTCACAGCACCTTTCTAGAAGCTGATGTTCGAGAAGTGAGGAAAAAATAAAAACACATGTAACCTGGAAGCATTTTAACGGAAGCTGGAAGAGGAAGGGGGGAAAACGGCCCTTTGAATTTTGTACAAAACAGCTGTACATTATATATATTCATTTTAGAAAGCAAAGTATAGTATAGAGGAGATAGAAAAAGAAAACAGAGACTCCCTAACAAATTATATATCTCAAGATTTTCATACATTGCAGAATATGTAGAATAAAAAAGGTAAACATTTCTCACCAACATCCCCTTCATTATCGTCTTTACGACATATTCTATAAGTCACAATGGTCCTTACTTCAAACATTTTGAATTACAAATTTCATAACCAATCTCTTTTGCAACTATATGTTTAATTTCATCATTATTAATTTCATCATCATTGCATATCCTATGTTATATATTTCATCCTTTCTACATACTAGCTATAACTTTTAATACACCAAAGCTTAAAGGAAAGTCTAGTATGGCCCCTGCCACACGACAGGTATTGTTCTTCAAAATCCACTGCCTCATAACAGCTGTACATCTTGAAGTCCTTACTTAGCATTTGGCCTTGCACATGGAGAAAGAAAATCAGATCTGGGTTCTGGAAGTACCCCCCTTCCCAGCATCTTCCTGACATCACCCTTTTCATCCATTTTCACCTTCCCCTTCCTCCAAGGAGCTCCAAGCATCATACACAGTTCTCCATTTTATACTAACAACAATCTTGTGAGGTGAGTTAGACAGAGTGAGGGCCCCTGGCTCAAGAGCACCCACTGAAATGGCCAGAGATTCGAACTGGGCCTCCCTCGATCCTAAACCGACACTCTGTTCACCATATTATCCTGCCTAAGGCTGCGGTCACACACACTAAATAATCCACTTTCAAACCACTTTCAGACTGGATTTTCACTGTGTGGACTGGCAACATCCAGTTGGAAAATCCACTGAAAGTGGATTATTTAGTGTGTGTGACCACAGCCTAAGTCTTTAGTTAAGCATCAATCCATGTTTGACATTTGGAGACCTGTTGTTAATTGGCAGAGTCTCCTCTTGATTTTCACTGTATACCTTATTTGCTTGCATTTTCTACCAATACTTGGCCATGAATAGCTTTGCTTTAAAAAAAACCCATTAATAATCTGATCTACGGTTTACTCCATGCAGTGATTGATTGACATACATGAAATCAAAAGGGATTTGGGTCCACACACATGAATACACGAAGCTGCTTTGTACTGAATCAGACCCTTGGTCCATCAAGGTCAGTACTGTCTACTCAGACCGGCTCTCCAGGGTCTCCAGCAGAGGTCTTTCCGATCACCTCTCATCGGGTCCTTTTAACAGGAAGATGCCAGGGGTTGAATCTGAGACCTTCTGCATGCTAAGCAGGTGCTCTACCACTGAGCCATGGTGCCTTCCAAAGGATGGCTGTTCTATGGTGCCCCAGAAGGCAAAGCTGATGACGTTACGGCTGAGAAGGCTCTGGTGCTCAGTGGAAGAGCATCTGTTTTGCATGCAGAAGGTCCCAGGTTCAGTCTCCAGCATCTCCACAAGAAGAAGAAGAAGAAGAAGAAGAAGAAGAAGAAGAAGAAGAAGAAGAAGAAGAAGAAGAAGAAGAAGAAGAAGAAGAAGAAGAAGAAGAAGAGGAGGAGG